AATCAGATAACAGCCATAAATATTGTTCCAGCTTTCCTGCATGACTGCTCCCCTTAGTCTGCCTTGACCACTGCTTCAGCAGATTTTAAGGGACTGCCAAAATCCATACCATTAATTCTGGATTAAAATGTATTTCCTTGTCATTTGCTAGTTTGTTTAGAACTGTACTTTAAAAGACAAGAATTGTTCCATTAACTTTATTGTTAAGTACCTTGACTGCAATTCACATCAAATATTCCGTCACCCTTTTTCCATCACGTCGCAGATTTCCTTTACTCAATCACTAGCTCTACCTTAGCTGACAACAATCTTTATCAATTGATTGCCCTCATTCAGTTCTTTAAACCATAAATTTAAAGCATCCTTCAGAGTAATAACATTTAAAGCAGCCATAGCTAGCTCAAGTCAAATACTTAATTACATAAAGCCAGGCTTCTGCTTGCTTTATTACATTAAAACCTCACAAAAGATTGCTCACAGAGTATAAATATTACAGAATATCAAGCAGTGCTAGATTTCACACTGTAATAAAATCCTTAGCTGTTACTGTATTACAACTGCAGAAGCTTAAACTACAATTCTTTGCATACGTAATTGGCAAATGCATCTCATTAAAGTCAGTGATACTTTCACATGTAAAGCATCTGCCAGAAATTCATAGAGAAATATTAGATACAGCAGTTGTGCACAATGCATTTCATGGACTGCTAGATCAATCTTACCTAATTTGTAAGTAGTTACATGTATGAAGTTACTTTGAGAAGGTGATTCTCAGAATCCCTATCAAATCTTGGCTTGGAATTCTGGAAACCTATAGTCCCAATAGTTTTGGACAGCCCTCCGCCCTCCAAGTTAGGAAAGGTTAAAATAAATTACAAATTCCAAATGGTAAACATTGGCATAATAACTACTGCAGAGGTGGTATTAGCCGGTTCTCTCCTGTTGTGAACCAGTAGCAGTGGCTGCGGGAGGCTTTGCCCACCTGCCCCGACGTAATGCGCGAGCACTGTGAACTGGTGTGAACTCACATTTGTGAACCGGTAGGGAAGGTAAGTGAATCCCACCTTTGAACTAATATAAAGATAGAAGAAAANTATTCTATTCTATTTTCCCAATTGAAACTATGGTTAAGTGTATCTGTCTATATCTTGTTTCCTACATTTCCAATGGACTAACAGAAAAATTCCACTATTTAGTCCCATTCTTTCTGCTGTTCAAACTCTTTGGAGACTTCTACAATTTAAACCAAGTGTTCTGTAAAAAAGTAGCCAGCTCCAAGATATGTTACTTACTGGTAACATTCTTTAGACCACGGCTGTCCAACCTTGGCAACTTTAAGACATGAGGACTTCAACTCCCAAATGCTGGCTGGGGAATTATGGGAGTTGAAGTCCACAGGTCTTAAAAGTTTCCAAGGCTGGGCACGCTGGCTAGTAGATAAGATTCTGTGACTTTGTTTATTGATATTAAAGTTTAATGAAATGATTTATTTTTTCCTGCCATATTATCTTGTGTAATAGTTATGTTTTCTTTGCACAGTTCAAAATCCTCTCTGCATACCAAAAGCTATTTAGTGTTGTTGTGTTACTTCAAATTTCAATGTTTATTGAAATAGACAAAACGTATTAAATAGGTTTCAAAAGTGGGGAAATGGTTGTTCCAGTCCAAATAATTAAAAAGGCCATTGCCTTGGAGAAGGCTTCAGCATAGAACGAATGCCCATTGGGTAGAATAACAATTGTGGGATTGGAATGGCTGGTGTTGTGAGTCTGTCAACAAGCCTACATTAGTAAAAAGGCCATTTGTTTCAATAATTGACCCAATCATTATGTGTATATAAAACATGTTTTAAGCTGCTTAATTTTAACTGAATTGTTCCTTTTGTGGAGTACTTGATTTTGTTTTTTATAAGGTTTTAGATATCCCTTTTTTAAAACAAGGTTTTAGTTACCCTTTAGATCAGAACAACATATTGTCTCCATTTTCACTATTTCCTGCTTGTATTATGTATTCCAATGCTTTATTTATGGTCTGGATCTCTTTGTTGGCTTTTTTTGGCAAAGCATAACGGCTTCTGCTTCTTACCATCCAAAACATGACAATTCTGGTAAATAAATTGAAGTTGCTAAGTGCTTTGGGCAAATAAACATGTGCCTTATCTCGCCCCTTCCCCCCTCCAAAGCTGTGAAAAGTATATGATAAACTGTACAGTTCAAAGAATGTGTCATGTCCCACTGAAATAACTTTGATTTAGGGTTATGTATTTATCTTTAAACAACTGACAAACCTAAGGGTATCTGAATTATGATCATTTGCTCTATGCTGCCTGAGTCTCTTACTGCAAAATTGAAATGATATATGCTAAGATTGCACTTCAGCTTCCCCTGCCTTAAAGCATGCTATAAAACACTTTCCCAGCCAGAAATGAGAATACTAGATGTAGTTGATTTTGATGAAGTTCAACTGAAAATGCTTAATGCTAATACTATTTGAATCAGAGTTATTGTTGTTTTTAAATTTATTGGGTGAAAAGACAACAAAGATCACTGCACTTTGAAAAGTGTTGTGTGTGGCAATAATGGAGTATTATTTTATTTGCATGTTTCAGATTTGACAGCATTCTCTAAATCGCCCTCTCAGAAATTTTCTGTGTACTGCAATTGTCCATGTTTGTTTCTACCTTTAATGTCTTTACAGATGTTGTTATAATACTGTAATACTCTTCTAAGAGTTCTCTGAAATTCTTTGGTTTTTTTCTTCAGATTTTTATCTTTATTGGCTTGGCAGCTCATCTCTTCTTTCTTTGGCAATTTCCCTGGTTTGTCTTGACATCTAGTTTGCTTTCTTTTCTTTCTTTTGTTTTTGCATTCTCTTTTCACATTCATCCTTATTAAAGGTCATGCCATAATTTGTCTGGTTCTCTATCAATGAAGTTTCAGATTGCTCAACACGCAGTTGTTTAAGATAATTATGGATATGATGAAATTTGCTCCTGGGTCGCCAATAACTGTATTGGCTACCAATTCATCCAGTATCCAGTTCTCTATTTTATTGGACTCCAAAGTATCAAAAACATTTGGGTGCTTAGGATGACATTTGGGAACAAGGAGGTTTATCGTACCCTCTGGAATAGCACTGTCATAATTTATGAGATATTTATCATGTTTAAACTTTACCCTTTATGAAGTTCCATAACCTGCAAAAAGCCTATGGAAATTTACAGCATAGAACTCTAAGCAAGCAAATAAAAATTCAAAGGAATACAGTGAATTAAAAAGAGATAACACAAATTGATAAATGGCACTCTTTCTTAGTAAATATTGAATTTTCAGTGTTTCTTGTTTTTCTATAATTCTCCTGACATCAACCATTTTTGTTTGTATGCAAATAGGTTTTTTCAATAAATATATGACTTCATTGATATTTTTTATTATCTATATCACTTTTCTTTTTAAACATTTTTTTGTTTTCTTTCATGTTTAAATAACATTTTTTCTAACTCTATGTACTTTTAGACAATACAATGCATTTTAGTGTGAGTTTCATCTTTAAAATAAATTTTGTAGCTCTGTTGCATTCTATTGGAGGAAAATAAACGGTCACAAACATATATGTGTGTGTGTGTGTGTGTGTGTTGTATTTGTGCTGATAAATAAATAAAGGGAGACTAGTATAGATCTATTTCAAGCTATTTAGACTAGTATAGATCTATTTCAAGCTACTAGTATAGATCTATTTCAAGCTACTAGTATAGATCTATTTCAGCAAAGGTTCGAATCCCAGTAAGGGTATGGCTAGATGATGAGCTAGCCATATCCTTACTGGAATTCGAACCTGTGCTGTATTACATCTTAGTCTCCCTTTATTTATTCGTCAGCACAAATACAACACAAATATATATTGTGTAAATTGTAAAGTGATTTTTATCTCCTAAGTCCATGGTGACAAACCTATGGAACGCATGCCACAGGTGGCACACAGAGCCATCTCTGAGGGCATGCGAGCCATTGCCCTAGGTCAGCTGCAGTATGCATGTGCATGCCGCCCAGCTAATTTTCTGCCTTTGAAGGGCCTCCAGAAGGCCAGGGGAAGCTGTTTCTGCCCTCCAGAAAGCCTCCGAAGCCTGGAGAGGGCAGAAAATGGGCCTACCAGAAGTTCAGAAATGGGCTGTTTCCGCTTCCGGAGGGCCTCTAGGGGGCCAAGTGTGGCCCTTTTTTGCCCTTCCCAGGTTTTGAGGCTTTCCTGAAAAACGGGCCTACCAGGCCTATCAGAAGTTCAGAAACGGGGTGTTTCCAGCTTCCAGAGGGCCTCCAAGGGGGCCAGGGGAGGCCGCTTTTGTCCTCCCCAGGCTTCAGGAGGGCAGAGGGGTTGTGTGGGCATCCTTGGAGGGGCGAGGAAGTGGGGGGTCATGTGCGCATAGGCGGGGGATTGAAATATGGGTGTGGGCACGTGCAGGCTTTTGGCACCCGAGCCAAAAAGGGTTAGCCATCATTGCCCCAAGTAATAAATACTGAAGTGACTGTTAATTACATGATCAGATATTTATTTTAAATTAATTAATACATGCTACATTTGTAAGAATGAAAATTAATATCAATTATTGTAAATATTTTTGCGTTTAACTCAGTAGTTGAAATTATTAATGAAAATGTATATTATCTATAAATGATATTTCAAAACATGAATAGAAGTAACTTGTGCAGAAGCTTAGAAGATGACATATTTGAAAGAGGGAACAATATTTTATGGCATGTTAAAGTCACCACATTTATGCCCTAAATGAGCATCACTCTACATAATTTCTCAAAGGTTACAGAAGCAGTTGAGAAATTATGCCATAATGGATCTCTCAGCTCCAAAAGACCTTTAAGTGTTGAAAGTCCTGTCTCTCCTTTTAAAAAAATATTTGAACTATAGTTTGAATTTTTAAAAACAAATACGGAAAGCCAGCAAATGATCTCAGTCAGTCAATCATGTATTTTTTTTCTCTTTAATTCCAGGGTGCTCCAAAACCAATTGCCATTGAGCCATGCTCAGGAAACAAAGCAGCTGTACTCACTGTGTTTTTATGCCTGCCAAGAGGATCACTAGGGGTTCCACCACCTGGTCAATCAGGTAAGAATCTAAGTCCTGTATTCAAATCCAGTATTATTGTCCTAGCAGAACTGGATCTTTTTTTTTTTTTTTTTGGAGAGGGGGGAGTGAAAGCGCCTGGGTCAATTGTTCATATAGGAAGGAAGGAAGGAAGGAAGGAAGGAAGGAAGGAAGGAAGGAAGGAAGGAAGGAAGGAAGGAAGGAGGACCAGGCCCATAATCCCTGCTTCATGAAATCATGCATGTAGTTGAATTGTTTTTCTAACCTCAGAGAACTGGGTCCAAATTAGTTTATCTGATTTCTTTGATATTAACTTCTCACCTTGCCAACTAAGATTGACCTTCCAAATTCCCTTGGTAATCGGTCACTGACGTAGTTTAATATACTTTAATCTGAATTCACAAGAATCCAAACCTAGATTTTATTTCCAGAGATTTCCTTGTCTCGTCTTAAGAATCAGATAAATATGTATTCCCAATAATAGTCACATGATTAGTGACAGGGGCAGCATATAAATTTAATACATAAATCTGGTAGATGGATAAGGCAATTGCCCAGTTAGGTTAAAAGACAATCAACTTAGTCTGACTCATGGGAAATACATCTTTTTTATGGATCTATTTTTACATATCATTTAAATTTGCATGCTAAATTTTAAAAAGGCATAAGTATATATTGCTAGCAACATGGTATGGTATGCATTATAACGAAACAAATCATCCACAATTTCAGATAAAATATACTCGAATACATTTAAGCTTGAAGATTAAGAATAGTTATCTATTCATCTAACATGCCACTTAACGTAGTGGTAGTAATTGTTTAAGTAGATGATGATAGTACTTTCTGTACATAATCCTTCTCAAAAATGGTACTCATCATTGCAGAAATGGATTGAGGGCTTTTGACTTAAACTTAAAGACTTAGTTGGCAACTATAATTCATGTGAAACTGTTTAAAGAGGATCACTTAACCTTATCACTGAGTGCACAGCTGCTTCTTTCTCCTTGTCTTGTTGCTATCATTTTCCTTTCTTCTTCACTGCACTGTGGGAGGTGGGCACTATCCTTCAGGAGGTCAGATTCATTCAAGAACTGCAATTTCCCGGTCCCTATTATAGACTAATTTGCAACTGTGGGGATAATTATAGTGATAATTATACAATGATGGAAAAACAGTTTTATATATTTCAACAAACAGCATGCAGAATTCTGTGTGACTGTGTCATACAAATAGAAATGTCCTGGAACTGTGCAGATTGTATAGCTGGAATAAACAGTGTGAATTGGAAAACTTCTTAGAAATATTCAGAATTGTTATAATTTTTGTAATGTTGTTCTTAGAATATGCAAAGAAGTGCTTGGCAAATTATTGTTCAAAGAAATTGACTAGTCAGAGCAATTTCCAGGTTCTTCAAGCTATTAAATGGTGAAATCCTATTTAGACCAATGATGGAGTTTTCCTTGCAGGAGGTTTCTCATAAAGGCTGGATGACATTTATAATGAATGGTTGTTGGATTTCTGCACAAAGCCAAGTGTTGACTAGACAATTGACTAGATAACCTATAACAAATTTCAGTTGCTTAGCAAGATAATTGTTAAGAGAGTTTTGCCCCCTTTTATGACCGAACAACCATGCCACAGTTGTTAAGTGAATCACTATAGATGTTAAGTTAGTAACATGGTTATTAAGGGAATCTTGCTTCCCCATTGACTTTGCTTGTTGGAAGGTTGCAAAAGGTGATCACATGACTTCAGGGCACTGCAAACATAAAAAAGTGCCAATTGCCAATTATCCAAATTTTGATCACATGATCTGGAGATGCTACAATGTTCATCAGTGAGAAAAATGGTCATAAGTCAATTTTTAAAGAATAATTCGAATTGTCATTAAAGAAATGATTGTAACTCAAGGACTACCTATACATCTGACATACACAGAATTAGACTATATAGAAATAATGAATATTAGTTACGAAATGTTCTCAAGTTCAGAAAATGCATTCAGGATGACTATGCTTTGGAAGTTGAAACAATTCCAGTGAAACTGCTTTAGAAAGTATGTAATATAAAAATAGGCCAAATATTTTTAGGAAATTTGCTTGGGGAAAGCGTTCCTCTGAGATAACAGGACTGCTTAAAACAACAATAAATAATAAATGTATGGAATAGCATAAATATTGCTTTATCATTATTTCCATATTTGTCATGAAATATGTATTATACTATAGCCACTGCAAAATAGTATAGATTTCAAACTATTAATCTCCAGCAATAACTCAAAATGTTCTCTTCTCTAAATTGATGGTGACATCAAAGTAAGTCCTTCAGGAATTAAGAAAGTGACAACAATTCAAATAATATCTGGATTTATGTGAGAATTAATTTTGTATACATTTTAGAAATGCTATGTTATTAGCTACAGCTTTTATTTAGATCTTTGGGTTTGTTTTTTTTACTATTATTCCTGTGCCATTTCAGATATTCCTACTTTAAGTGGCTCATTAAAAAGAGTACAGTAATAGAGCACTTATAGACTATATATGACAACCATTAAAAAAAACATACAAAATCATAGTGCGAGTCTAATAATTATACACAATAACCATGAATTAATGAACCATCACATATGATTCAGCACTTAAAAGTCATGGCATTAGTGTTCTCATTCATTTCAGGTACAATTTGTGTCTCAGTTCCTGAATTCTCTTTTCAACACCTAACTTTTGCATCTTGGAGCGAAGGGAAAGGACGCGACAAGCGGGTATGCAAAACAGCACCCTTTATTTAGAACATAGTG